TAATCTAGCATACAGTTTACCACCACTTCTTCACACTGATGTTACAGGGTTTCCTAAGTGTCCGACTGTTATGTATATGCCATAAGGTTTATAGTGTGTAAGGGGGAGACGATGGAAGGGTAGGTAACTCCAATCGCCTATCATGTAACAGTTATGTAACTCTTCGTTGAAGAGATAAAAAAAAGGGTTGGTGGAATAAAAGAGAAGATGGAAGCAAATGGATGGGTTTTAGTTATGCGTGTCTTTAGTATTTAACATGGTGGAGAATCTGGCTCTGAATGAAGCATTAAGCAAGTAATAGAAAATGTTGATTGTATGATTTATCAATTGAAATTTTACAATGTTTAATTGTATCAATTGGTATGGCTTATTAATTCAAATCTTATTATTTTAGTACTTTGTGTTTTGTAATTCAATGATATTGCTTGTTGTCAATAGCTCATGATCATATACAACATAAGTATTTCATGATATACTTAGTACTTGACAAATTATGTGTTACATTTACCTGATTTAATGCTAAAATGACGTAATATAGTATGACATCATTTCTATAAGGTTCTGTTATGAATCGTGAAATTTCAGCTCGGAGTCTTACAATTAGAGTCTTACTGTAATTATGATTTTATCATATGTCATAAGATTATCTCCCTTGTCTCAATCAGCTGTTCAGGTCATAGAAGTCATTTCATAATATTTCAAAGATATTTTTTTAAACCAAATCTGAGCAGTATAACTTCATCCCAACAGAGCAATTTTAACTCCATTCCTCTATTTCCCCTATTGGGACCTGCCACTCTAGCTCTAGAGAGGTCAGATCCACCGAATTTACAAAACTGAGTCCTCTTTCACCCAAGGATGATTCAGTCCAAATTTGGACAAAACATTCTTTCCTACAAAAGAAGGATTTTGAAGAATTTGCAGTCATGCCCCAGGGAACGAGACCAATCATATATACAAAATTGATTCCCCTTCCTCCAACGATTCTTCGGACCAAGTTTAGTCAGAATCTGCTCAGATGTTTTTGACTAATAGCAATTTGTAAGAAAAGTTGATAGACACTGTGGCATAGCTTAAGTTCATTGGTCTTTCGGACATGGTGAGCTCATAATGGAAGTGAAATAATTTTTTTTTTCAGTCAGATCAACTAGTATTATACCACTTTTTTTCTAAAGGATCAGCACGCAAATGTTTCTTTGATTTATACTTTGTCAGCATGCAGTGTTCCACTGGTCTTCTGTTTCATTAGTACTTCAATTTATTATCTAGCAAGGAAATAATATCTATTACTTTGATTATATATACTGTAGTCTGATCAATATTGTCTAACAGAAGGGGTCCCACAACAAAAAAAAAAAGAACATCTGATTTTGTTTCAATTTATTAAATACTGTCGTACCAGAATAACAACAATCACCTTGTCTTACTGTAAGCTTTCATTCTCCTCACATTTAACAAATCATCGTAACAGTGAGCACATATACAACATCCACCTATTTTACTTACAGTTTATATATCAAAGAATCAAGTTTAAAATGACACCATCTGTGTAAAGGCAACAACTGAATTAACCAGCTAAAAAGTCTGGTTGATGAATAGTATAAATTGAAACATTAAAATGTTTAAAAAAGTAAAATCATCCATTTTCCTTGACAATTCATACTATCATCAATTGTACAGAAGACCACTATATGTGTACACCATGACAGACTACAATGATAATTAAATTGGTCAGGTGTTTGAATGTAACTTTGTCTTCTAATGAAAACTAAAACCAGTACACCAGTGAAAAGCATCCTTCCCACCATGAAACAATTCAAAACTCTTTTACCAGCAATTCTTGGTCTAATATGTACCCTTGGAAAAATCAATATTAGTCACTCTTACCACCATCATCATCATTGACAATGTATTTTTTTGTTTTTGTTTTTTTTAAAAACAGATTTAATGTCCTAAGTCATATAAGGATGAATGTCAAGAGGAGCACCATGAGTGGAAAACAAAACAGAAAGAGTGGGAAAGGAAAGAAAATGCTAACATATACTTCATGTTTGAAGCCTTATATTACAGAGGGCAAAACCCCAAAACAAGCATATTTGTGTATCCCAACTCCTCTTCCAATACCTGTACCAGGTACATTGTGTTTATGAAATGTCCTATGATATGACAAGAACCCTGTACTCTCCTATTATAATGGTCATAATTAAAGGGGTATTTATTAATGATTTAAAGACATTTGTCAGTACAGGAAAATATATGTTCTTTGTAGTTTTAGTCATCTAGCTACTACTAATCTGTTTAAGGATGTAGTGACTCACTATCCAGGCAGTGTTTTAGGGACATACTCATTATGTCCTACTATATAACAAGTGTTTAAGGGAAATAGTGCCCCACTATGCAGCCAGTGTTTTAAGGACATACTGTCCCACTGCTGAGTCAGTTTTTAAGGATACACCTGGGGTAGTGTCCCACTATCCAGCCAGTGTTTCAGGGACATTGTGTCCCACTGCTGAGTCAGTTTTTAAGGATATACCTGGGGTAGTGTCCCACTATCCAGCCAGTGACTTTATGGATTATTTTTCTCTCAATTATATCACAATACAGCGATTTCTGTTTAAAATGACTGACTTTGTTACTGAAGCTAAGTTGAATCTGTCAAAGGCAAAACAAAAAACAAAATGTGCATTGCCCTCAGCACAGAATGTCTGTTTGACAGTGATATATGTCTGACAAAAACATGTTCAGATTCGTTATGGTATGATAAATAGTAGCAATATAATTGTTATTTAACAATACATGCTACAAGTTAGAAAAGATACTGTACAATTCAACGCCACCAAAGCATTATTACAATGTGGATAAAACACCACACTGTAGCTTGATGATCAGGTAATGATACTAACAGACGTAACGGGATCATGAGACAGTGAAAACCTTACCTAATACAAAATAACGTATTGATGTCTCAATCAAACTTATCCAATTGAATTCATATAGTACCGGTAATTAAAGAATAAAAATTTGCAATTATTGCTATACGACTGTTGAAAGCAAATTGGTGGATTGTTACAGGTTTTCTGTCCTTGTGACACTTTGCTGATGAACGTCAGTGTTCTGACAACATGCAAAAGCTAAGGTAACAGTCTATCAATACCAAAAATGTTTATGTACAAAAAGCAGCTTATATTATAATCCTGATTGTATTAGGATGTATACTGACAAATCTTCACTGACAACAGTGTTGTAAGGGAAGATTTAATGATACCAAGATTAGGGACCAAGAAACAATCTTAAAACTCAACTTTATGTTGGCAAGCCAATTACACATGATATCATCTCTAATAGACAGTAAAAACTGAAGAGGACAGTTTTAGAATGAAGATCGTTTCATTAATTCTAGTCATCTTTACATGACAAATGGATGGTACTTGTTTATAAATGAACAAATAGACAAAATTATTGAGCAAATACACATTGATCTTGATTATCTCACTGTTTCTAAAATCTCAAAATATTAATTAGTCATCAGTATCAGCTTCAACAGAAACTGGTTTCTTATTTAAGAGGATATCATGTCCAGATTTTAGAGAGAAAAAAACCCAGTTAACATAATTGTCTTCTTTGTGATGTATAATTAGTATAATCGCTTGACAATACCTCAGTGAAGATAAAGACTTGTATGTTACGATATTTCTAAATAATGAAAGAGACCTATACTTATTTGTGTATTCATATTTGTATTTTCTAGTATCACTGTGTGGCATGATAAATACATCAACTTAAATCAATGTCGCTGTTACTTTAGAAACATCAGACAATATGACTACAACCATAAAACAACTTTTTAACAGAATTAATCATGATCTGTTTTTGTGTACAATCACAGTATTTGATGAACGTTACAAAGCTAATAGAAAACCTAAAACCAGCTATTTATACAAGTATGGTGTACAATGTGTACATGTTTCAATTTCAAAACACCAAATGGAAATATGGTAATTTCAAACTTATCAGAGCTATTGCTCCAGATGTCATTTAATGTATTCAGAGTGATTATTTCTCATTTTTAGGAGAAGCTTTTGTAACAACTAAAAGGGGAGAAAATCAGGTAGCTTTGCTACCACAACAAAACTGTTTCATCCATCGGGAAACACTGAACCGCACACAAAAACCTACCATACACTTAATCAGCTTCAACAATAACACATCAGTTGACACTGGTACATCACATATCAAGAAATGACCAAGAAATTCTATAATTTTGATTTTAACCTGCATGTATAGAAAGTTGTTGAAAAGTAGAAATTGTGTATAACTACACATAACCGTTTCTGTTCTTACGTAAACCAGAATCTGGTGTAAATATGAATCAAATCTGTTGAGGGTTTTGTAAGATATGACAGCGATTCAGAATGCGACGGGACGGAACAGCTGGACATCAGTAATACTACAAGCTCCCCATAAAACGGAGGGGACATAAAAACCATACACTGTTCGGTAATTCAGGTACATGTTTTGTTTGTATTAGAACATCATTCTTATGGCACATTCATTCCATTTTCCCTTTAAAATTAGAATTATACAAGATGCATTTTTCAAGTGATCATTCAAGGTGTTTTCCAACAAGAAGATATTCATACTTTTTAGGCAATAATGATGTGCAAGAAATTGTTCAATCACAAATATAATAACATTATCTATGGCCCGACTACTTTGTCAGTGATTAAATGATAAAACAAAGATAAATTATGATCAAAACTACAAGTAGATGTCTGTGCAAGGATTGTCACAAACACAACATATCAATCAACATGGATTTCATCCAAAGATTTCTGACAATTATTTCATACATGGCTAAATTAGCATTCTCTAGATGGACATTGAAGCAACAAGCAATCTCATTTTATAATTTCATACATTGCACATATTTTACATTTAAATCATATACAAATATCAAAATTATGCAGCAATCAATGCATTATTTCAAATTGTATGCAACTGATTGATTTATAGAATCCATCTGAAAAAATTTCATCAGAAACATTTTTCATTAGAAAATTTAAAAAAGAAAAAGATTTTCTTTTTTTACAATATTGCCATTCAACACACACATTCTTCATCCATTTTTTCAATGATTGGCATAAGGAAGCTATATATACATGTGGTATATACTGGCTTTATTGTTTAGTATAATTTATGGTAATGAGGAAACATGAATGTGTGGTGTTTTATTTCTGTCTTATCTCAACAAAACAATGCAGAGATTTACAAATATAGTCTAGAAAAATGATTTCATGAACACTCTATAGGTATATTCTATATTCAACACATTAGCCATCTAGTGATCCAACTAGAAGCTGCTTTAGCATCATACTTCAGAAAAACAAAAAATATGGTCCACTACCCAAACCCTAACAGCTACATAAAACAGGATTACATACAATTCTTATAATTGAAAACATTACAATTTTTTTTTTTTTTTGGGGGGGTGGGGGGGGGAGAGATAGAAATAAACTTTTCCTTTAATTTAATGACAAATCCATGACAACAATACAACATAGGTAAAATTTCCATTCCACATGTTAAGGATTACAGACGAAATTTCAAATGTTTCTGGAAATATTGTTGTTGATAGATCATAAATCTAATGATACTGAAAAATTTGTATTTATACAGTATCATATTGATAATGGTTTTCTCCAGCCTAAGAATTCAGTCATCACAAATACAGATGTATGTGCATCTCCCAAGCCAGTCTGTGTTTGAGCAAATACATACATGGAGACCAATTTGTTATATGAAATCATCCAAACATTTAACTACCTACCTGTCTGATAACATGGAACAAGATTTATAACTTTTTACACAGTACCTGACAATGACTGACTTAACAAATAAATGTTGGATGATAAAATAGTCAGCAGTTACGACACATGTTACAGAGCATCAGAACACACTGAACAAACGAACATGGACATGTAGGTATGGTACTATCAATATGTTATCCTGAAGGACATGTTGAGCCTTAAGAAGATAAAATTTATATGTATTTGTTATATACAAGGAAAGATAACTCTGATGCTATCTCATAAACTCTGTGTCACAAAACCCTTACCAGGCAATCATTTTAACTCCATTTCCGTTGTCCTTGTCGACCAGGTGTACATATAAATTTTGATAATACTGTTTTATTATCAGTCAAACTATGACAAAGGTTTGAATTAAGTTTCCACAACACTTTGCAGATTTCTTCTGGAGATGATGACTATACTTCACTGGTTCAATCTATCGTACGTCTCATTATGCCATCAACGTTGAGATCTTCCATCCATTACATCTGGTATGGAATGATTATATTTCTCTTATCCCTTGAGAGAATGTATTTCACAAAGCAGATGGTAAAATTCTTGGCTAACCACTTTGCTCTATGATGCCATCGGATCATAACAGTCACTTGACTGTTTGGGATGTAAAGACACAATTATGGCCACTGGGTGTTCTATGTGTAGCTTGTCTATGCCTTGAAAAGTTGACAATCAGGTATATGGATATTGTGGAATTGTCTGGGTAGACATAAATCACTTCCATATTTAGTAGTGTCTCTTTATCAAAGAAACAGCCTCATCACTCGGGTGTTTGATGGAACTCCTTCATACAATGTGATCCCTACACAGGACCTATCATCTTAGTCCCCAGTGGTGTCTAACAAGGGTCATCATCATTTGTGTGTCAAATGTTTGCCTTCAGAGAATTCTGTCTCAGCACCATGAAAAAAATGGTGCTCTATGGGAGAAACTCTGTGTGAATGTCTCGCTCTCTGTGCGAGAGCGTCCACTGCCAGATCTGTTACGTTCCACTGTCACCACAGGCATCTGTACTAGCTGAACTGGGGATTTCTTGTCCTTCAAGGCTTGTGTTAGATTAAGTATCTGTAACAAACATGAAAGTTTTACTGATTCATTCCACATCAATTCATAATGACAATAGACAAATAAATTTGTACAAACTATAGCAATTTTGTCGATCATTAACCAGGTTAACAACTGACCAATCAGAATAAACCATTTCTAATTTATCTATAAGCAATCTAATTAATATCCAAAAAGATTAGTGCGAAACCTATGAGTAAAATTCACTGTACTTTGCTTTCGTGAGAGATATAAACATAATAGATAAGAGATATACAAGTAATTACCTGGCCTCTCATCACAGACATCTGACACTCAAAAGTCCTTTTATCAAAGCCTTTGTCAGTCTGAAACACAAGTACATAGAAAATAAGATAACTTCCTAATCCATGAGTAAATTCAGGATCACATATTTTTCAGTGTGTTAATTAAGAGTCATACTACATAAGAATTCAAATAACCTTAAACAGTTCCCAGAGGTCATCACACAGGTCCTGGACAAAGTTCATGTCTGATAACTGGGGTAGGACAAGGTCTCGGATCTCGTCAGAAAAGGGTACTTTTGCCTGAGGAAGCCACGCCCAGTGGTAGGGATCTACAACAAAAAAGTTGGGCTAAATTAATCATTGAACTGTCTTGAGGCTGAACTTATACTTTAATGAAAAAGCTTCACAGTTAAACATTATAATGATGGATTGAGGTATGTTTGTAAGGATTGTGTTAACACTGCAGAATCATATACTGACTTGATGGTTCAACACTGGATGGAATTCAAGCAACAGAAAGAGATCATGCGTTTATTCAGAGTTAGAGAATCAGGCTAATTACTATCTATCACTGAACACCTGCTCCTGAATAATATGTCTCAAAATACAATACAGAACAAGAATATGTTTATTGTAATCACTTGTAATCCCTTAAATCTCACTAAAGTACTGTAAACCTACTTTCTTTTGTGCAAATTTTACTTCGGTGAATTTTGTGATTTAAGCAAAACCAACAAAATCGATTGCAGTAAAACATAGATGACAGAGACCAATTTTCCTTGTTAACATCTAGTGTTTTATAAAAATGACTATTTACCTGATGTGCAGTTTATCCTAAATACAGTTCTAATGTGTTTCATACAGTTCTAATGTGTTTCATAAATATGGTTAATTTCAGTTATTCATTCCAATGAGTGTTTGATTCAGAGGAGTTTTTATGTTTGGTAGATGAGACAAACATATGGAGATCTGAAGAGTGTTTGAATTCTATGACTGGCTCACCATTATATGAAGCCATACAAGCTTTTATATAACTGTGATTAACTTTCAACTTGCTATCTAAACAAAAACCATGAGGCATCTTATGAATTTGAAAGTCAATTTCTCTGGGGTTTTATCAGCTGCTATTAATGTGTCAAAAGTCATTCCGGTCACTTTGTAACTGACCTGTGTCCCTCAAGCATCCTTTGATAAGCATGATGACTTTGTGACTAGATAAGGGGCTCCTAATTACTGGATTTATAAATGAAGACCATGCACTTTGAATTTAACGATGGTGGCTCAGAGTTCCCCAAAATATATTATTATATCACAAAAATTGTGGCAGTTAGTAGCTGCAAAAGAAAGTGTGCTTATAGTACTGTAATTAATTTGATATGAAATAGTGAAATGATCTTTTTAACAATATCCATTTTCTTAATTCTTTTCCGTGTTCTGAACAAGTTACTGCAGCCAAAATCCTGTGAGATCTGAACCCTGTAGCATGAAGACCATGGAAAACTTACACGCTCGCCACTCATCTGGGTGTTTAAATGGGAATGCTAATCCATTATCTATTGCAGCAATAGATATGACTGGGTTATCTACAAAGTTCCATTCACTTTCCTGTCAAAAATAAATAGAGTTAAACATCATCAGCAACAAGATCATGAATATTCTTACAACTCCATTTCTTAAGCTAAAATAGTGTATTATAGTAAAATAAGATTGTTCCCTCAATATAATCCCTCAGCTGAAATACTATGGTAAAATTAGATTGTTGTCTTAATTTAACCCCTGAATAAGTAATTCTGAAAACTTAGTGGTGAAATGTTCATCAGTTGTGCATGGAATAATAAGAGGTAAAACTAACCACACACTACATAAGCTATAGATAATTTCAGTAACAAACTATATAAATGCTTGAAGAAATTAATTTTTTGTATTCAACAAATTTCACTGGCATTAATCAATTAAATCACTTTAAAGACACATTTTTCTTTATACACTGTACAGGATTTTGGTGACAGATAATGAAGCATTACCTCCTCTGATTGCCCATGTGATGAGGCAGGCTCATATCGTATAAGCCAGTTATCGTTCCCTCTGTCTGAAACAAAAATGAACATTTTTGTTGGAATTGGTTTTTATACAATTCAGCGTAAATCAAATCCAGTATATATTTGGTGAACCTAAAATAGATATGGAAAAGAGTGGTCAATTTAAATCTTTATTAGCAAAAGTACAAGGTCTCTATGTATTGGTGAAGGAAGACCCTAGCTAACAAGTTTTGTTGTTATAAGAATGTAAAAAAGTTGTAAAATGTGACCTTTGACTTTTACCCATGACCTATGGCCACTTTGATATGAAGATAAAGATAACTTAATGTTGTGATAACATTGATTAAATTTGAACCAAATCTTTTGAGAGGTTCTTATTCACAAGATATGACATAGATTCTTATGTGAAGTTGCACAACACAACAGGAAAGATGGACATGGGATAACACTGATAATTTTTCCCCAAGAATTTGACATTGTCTCTGTTTGGGAAGAATTTTAACCCTTTAAAACTAGTTTGTAAGCCAATGGCTTACTAATACACCCTTGATCCCTGTCATTTGCAAAATACAACTTTATAGTACAGTTGCTATGGCAACCAAATGTTTTTTGGGAAAAATAGTTGCATACACATCTCTACATGGTTACTCTCATTAGTATATGTCATTTCATTAAAATTAACCCACTACAGTAGTTAAGTGGAGTTGTCCTCACAAAACATTCTATAAAAATTCAAATTTTTTTTATTGACACGTTGCCGAGACAACTACACATTTTTTGCTTAAAAAGAGTTCCATGCACATCTAAACATGGTCCCCAACATTCCTGTGTAGTCTCCAGTATCCAGTAGTTTTGAGAGATTTTTCCAGACAAAATTTTTGGGAACAGACAGACAGACGGACAGACAGAAAAACTTTTTCCAGTATATCACCTCCCCCCACCCCCACCTCTTAACTTTGTTGCAGGGGGCTATAAACAAAACAGGAAGGATATACATGGGGAAACACAATTTCACACCCTAAGAATCTGACATTGATTCTGTTGGGATAGAAATATAACCCTTTAAAAATATAACAGGAAGAATGGACATAGGGGAGACTTAAAACCCTTTAGTAGTCCATTATCTTTATAGGATAATATAAAACATATGTAAATCTGTGATTACAACTCACCAGTATTTCTGATTATATAATCTAGTACTACAAGTCGTTCAAATAAGTGCTGAAGTCGTGTTGCTGTAGAGATAGGTAAATCCTCACTGTCAAACTTCCGTAACCAGAAATCTGCATCTTTATAGTTGTTGACAAAAAACTGGAATGATCCTGTCTGTTTGCAGAAGATATTTAAAGAAATGAAACTTCATCATCAAATTTGCATATCAAATTAAAGTTAGTTCCAATGTAAGGATGACAGCAAACTAGGAACTGTTTCATTTATTGATTACGGTGTGAAACCCTACATACCAGTTCTTATTTCAAATCAGTGCACTTATCAAAACTGGAGCAAGCAATCAGTAGGTAATACTGCTTTACTGGTGTAAAATGTTAGTTGAAAGAATGTTTTTATCAGTGAAAATAATAAAAAATGTAAATACATACATATCTTTGGGGTGGAAAATCAAGCTTTATATAAAATTGGGGAAACAAGTCTTAACTCCTATCTTAATTCTTTCAAATCTGTACTATTATATCAAAACATAGGCAAATATTGTACATGTTTTATCATTTCATGGGGATTCCAAAATATATTTGGTAACTTATGTAAATATTTATTCTTTCATTATTGAGGAATAAAGATTGACGATAATTATTTCTGAATTAGATAAATCAGTGCTATGCATAAAATTTACCTTTGGTGGTAAGCCTATTCTGTGAAAATGTCTTCCCACATTTGGCAGTTTCTCCAGAATATTTTTCTTTGTTCTAGATTTTGCTCTGTCTATAGCATTGTAATTAAATGTATCACTGGCTAATTTTACTACCTGTAAAATAGAAATATACAACATTATTAAAACCATAACTGTATCAGTTTAGTCCAATATATATATTATTTATATCAGACATTACACAGTCTTCCTCTTTTGTTGTAATACAGATATATACAGACAAAAGTACTCATTGTTATATCAGGATTCCTCTGTAAATTAATGTTGATGTACTAGTCTCTAAAGCAGTACGGGAAAATGAGTTATACAATTACTTAAGTTTGTACTGTATTTCTTGTTCCAGGTGCTGTATTTCTGAGTATGAGTGATAATGAAAAATTCCTTTGGGTAGACAAGTAGCCTGCTCTAACTGAATTGGTGATTATGAAATAACAGATGCAGTTTTGTATGACAGATATTCTTCTGCCACCAATGGGACATATACATATAGACAATGACCTTTAGACATGAAAAATAATCCAAATTTTCTATTATGAACCATCAGGAAGTATGACTTTGATCCAGGAAGCAATTTTCTCATTTCAAGTATCCTTGACCTTTACAGTAACCTTGATCTTAGACTTGTAGACTAGAAACCCAAATCCAGCTGATGAAACAATACCAAATCTCACTTCTGATAGTAGGAACATATATATATGTTTTCCAGGAAATCTGACAAGGAGGTTTTAGGTATCAAGTATTGTACTGAGTCACTAGTCCTGAAACATTGAGGATCTTTTTTGGTATAAAGTTCTATACTGAGACACTGGACTTGCATTACTGTGTCTGTGGCCAAGATATTAACTGGCGACAAACCCTTTTACATGACACTGGACCTGCAACACTGTGTTCTAGCTGAGGAACTTTTCTGGTGTAAATTTCTGTACTATGACACTAAACGTTACAATACTGGTATTGATTCCTGTACTAAGACACTAAACGTTACAATACTGGTATCAATTCCTGTACTAAGACACTAAATGTTACAATACTGCTATCAATTCCGGTACTAAGACACTAAATGTTACAATACTGGTATCAATTCCGGTACTAAGACACTAAATGTTACAATACTGGTATCAATTCCTGTACTAAGACACTAAATGTTACAATACTGGTATCAATTCCTGTACTAAGACACTAAACGTTACAATACTGCTATCTATTTCTTCTTGTACCAAGACACTAAATATTACAATACTTAGTCCTAACCAACCAACTTTCTGGCATCATTTTCTTAACTTAACATTAAACCTACAACACTCTCTGCAGCTGAAGAATTTTTCTGGAACCAAGAAATTTACCTAGACAATAGACCTGTGGCATTGAGTTCTAGCTACAGAACTTGGTATAAAGTAAGTTACCTTGACAATAGACCTGTGACATTGAGTTCTAGCTACAGAACTTGGTATAAAGTATGTTACCTAGACAATAGACCTGGGACATTGAGTTCTAGCTACAGAACTTTCTTGGTATCAAGTAAGTTACCTAGACAATAGACCTGTGACATTGAGTTCTAGCTACAGAACTTTCTTCGTATCAAGTAAGTTACCTAGACAATAGACCTGGGACATTGAGTTCTAGCTACAGTCAGAACATGTTACAGTCATAGAAATAAAACAAGAGGCCCATGGGCCTTAACGGTCATCTGACAAAAAGCAAGCCAAACCTAGAAAGTGGGTTGAGGTCATTCATTTGAACAAACTTGGTAGCCTCTCCTCCAAGCATCTTACAGGCCCAATATCAGCACTCATGGACTTTTGCTTGTTGAGAAGAAGTCGTTTGTATATTTTAACATATTTGACCCCTGTGACCTTGAAAGTGGGTTGAGGTCATTCATTTGAATAAACTTGGTAGCCTTTCCTCCCAGCATGCTACAGACCCAATATCGGCACTCATAGACTTTTGCTTATTGAGATGAAGTCCTTTGTATATTTTAACATATTTGACCCCTGTGACCTTGAAAGTGGGCCAAGGTCATTCATTTGAACAAACTTTGTAGGGCTCCATGCCAGCATGCTATGGGCCAAGTATTAGCCCCCTAGGCCTTCTAGTATTTGAGAAGAAGTTATTTAAAGATTTTGACATATTTGACCCCTGCGACCTTGAAAGTTGTTCAAGGTCATTCATTTAAATAAACTTGGTAGCCTTTCCTCCCAGCATGCTACAGACCCAATATCGGCACTCATAGACTTTTGCTTATTGAGATGAAGTTGTTTAAAGATTTTAACATATTTGACCCCTGTGACCTTTAAAGTGAGTCAAGGTCATTCATTTGAACAAACTTTGTAGGGCTCCATGCCAGCATGCTATGGGCCAAGTATTAGCCCCCTAGGCCTTCTAGTATTTGAGAAGAAGTTATTTAAAGATTTTGACATATTTGACCCCTGTGACCTTGAAAGTTGTTCAAGGTCATTCATTTAAACAAACTTGATAGCCCTTCATCCCAGCATGCCACAGGCACAATATCAGCAATCTGAGCCTTTTGGTTATTGAGAAGAAGTTGTTTAAAGATTTTAACATATTTGACCCCTGTGACCTTTAAAGTGAGTCAAGGTCATTCATTTGAACAAACTTGGTAGTCCTTCATCCCAGCATGTCACAGGCCCAATATCTACACTCTGAGCCTTTTGGTTAATGAGAAGAAGTTGTTTAAAGATTTTAACATATTTGACCCCTGTGACCTTTAAAGTGGGTCAAGGTCATTCATTTGAACAAACTTGGTAGAGCTCCATGCCAGTATCCTCTGTGCCAAGTATTAGCCCCCTAGACCTTCTAGTATTTGAGAAGAAGTCGTTAGAATGAAAAGTTTACGGACGGCGCACGGCGCACGACGCACGGCGGACGACGACGGACGAAGCATGATGACTATAGGTCATCGGACCCTTCGGGTCAGATGACCTAAAAAATTATCACAATTACTTACTTTTGTTTTGGGAACTATATTTAATTGTAGTTTCTGATCCACTAAGCTAGCCCCTGCTTCAGATAAGTATCCCTGATTTGGTACTAGGCAACTTCGTCCAAAACAACATGGACAACAAAGTTTGTGCATCCATTTTGTCCATTTAGGGTTTAACTGCCCATAGGGCTCTTCGTCTTTTGGTTTAAAAACTCCAATTGTCTTCTGAAAATAGAAAAGTCAAACCAAAGGTTAATCATTTAAAGTACAACTAGTAAAGTGAAGTATGATGAGTGGAAGTAAACACTATTACTTGATATCGTGGAATACTTCAGTAGTGGAGACATTTTTTATACATGCATGTGTGACGCTGATCCTAGCTGGTAAATTCAATAAAAGCAACGCAAACTACCGTAAATATCCTTTAGGTACCACCTAACACACCCAAGTAAGCCCCTGTCACCTGATGTAGTGTGAAAACTTCTGGGCAGGAAGCCCATGTCAGAAAACATATTGTTTATAAAGAAAAAATTTAATAACATTCTCCTTTTCAACAATAACAACAATATAGATGAGAGGGCTTATGGCCAGGCCTGGGCTTATTGCTGGATAAATATAGAAGTATCATGTGTATTTTTTTTTTATCATAACATTTTGGGATTAATCTTCAATTAGAGCTGATGATCAAGATTTGTCACAAACCATGATTTTCATATGAAATGGCTTTATTTGGGCTTGTTTTTTAGATGGTTTATTTTAATATAGGGATGGTATGACCATTAAGTTTAATGTTTATAATCAATAACTTGCCAGTAATCAATAGAAAATTACAGGATCAAAGTATGTTATGAAGTTAAATGAAAGAATGTCATTCTTAAACAGGTTTCGAGACATCATGCCATCATATAGAAAAAACAAAATCAATGATTTTATTTACATTTTGTACTCTTTTCCATGGAATAGCAAAAAAAAAAAAAATACATGGATGGGACTGGTGTAGTAATACATGATGCTTTTTTAATTCTTTAGTCATTAAAACTATATTTTTCAATTTTTTTTTTTTTATTTAATTTCTCAAAATAGAGACATTTGTGAACATATTAATATTTGTCAGTTGAAATGCCACACCATAGTTCCATGTTTCAGTATGTTCTACATTTTAAACCAGAAAGTAAATCAAAAGGAATTCAAAACTGTGATCTGATTCTGATTTATTAAATCTACTTCCTCAAGTAAGTTTCCGGCATCACAAGTTTCAAATTATAAATGCACATACATGTATATATTTCTGGAGTTTACATGGATTTTGGTAACTTTTTGGTACGTTTTAATTTCCTACGGAAAGCCAAAAGGAATATTTTGTATGTCAGGGTAATTTTTTAATTGATTGATTAGTAAGAAATTCACATTCAATTTTGTGCAAAAGTTCCAGTGAGTCAGCTGTCCAATGCTGATTGCATATGCAGTTTGTTGGGTTTTGTTGGGTTCTATTTCCAAATACTTTGAATTTCCAAACAAAATACCATCAAGCACTCACTTTTAAGTGGCAATAAGTGACATGATAGTGAAATATGTATATACATGGTTATTACCATTACGCAAAATCAGATAAGTCATAATAAATGTACTTATATGCCGTCAAGGCTTCATCATAAGTAGGTTATAGAGTACAGCAGTAGAGAGAGTGGGCGATCTATTGATTCAGATTTATACATCAGCATATCTACAACATATGTATGAGGGACGACCAGCTGTAACTGTATAAAACTATAAAGTTTATAATGTATCAAATGGTAGGTATGCAAGTATGACAATATTTTGTACATCAATGTAACCATGCAATTAACATTACAACAATATAACCGAATTTGAAATATTTTATATAAATGAAATTGATAATACTCTTGAGATAAATGGACACAGTGTTATTTAGTATAAACAAGTTCATATATCACATTGACATTCATGTTACCAAGGGAAAAGTTCATTATGATGTATCTTTTAACCTTTTTGACCAGGGCAAAAAATTTGAGCATTCTGTAACGGTACAACATAGTATAAAATAGGGGTGTCCCCTTAAATCCCATACGGGTACCACATAGTACAGTGTAGTGGTGTCCCCTTACATCCCATACAGGTACCACACAGTACAGTGTAGTGGTGTCCCCTTACATCCCATACAGGTACCACACAGTACAGTGTAGTGGTGTCCCCTTATATTCTGTTAATATACTATACAGAACACTGTAGACATCCTGTTCATCTATTATGACCACCCTATTAGGGTGTAGATGACTGCCCCTACATTTTGCACTAGAATTACAGTCGTGAGTTACAGTATTTACTATTAACATGCCAGAAACAACTTACTCCCTGTCGGTCGCGGACAAAGTAACAACCACTTGTGCCCTTTTCACATAATGTTGGTGTCTTTCCTGCGTCGATTGCTAACTCCCCCTCATAAATTCTGTTGGCGAACTCCATATCATTTGGGAATGCATTTCCATACACCGATTCATACCGACTGTAGTCGGGTCCTTCCAAAGCCCCATACCCTTCACTAACTTGTGTCTCTTCATTTGCTATTATTTTCACTTTATCCAAACTCGCAGCCATTGTTGTCTATAAGAAATCACAGTTCTCTTAAACAGCATATATGCTGTATACAAGATCAGGGCCTCCTATTTCTTACATGATGAAAACACAATCAGGGCCTTTTTGTCTACAAACATTTCACACAGTATAGGCCTCTCTTCATAGGTATGACTTCAGAGTGGTGATGAAGTATTGGTGATATGTTCAAGATCTCAATTCTGTACCACTTCTTTGTTATTTAAGGCTTTCATAATGTTACTCTGATCACAAATGTCCTGTAGAAAATCTGTAAATACTTTATACGTAAATTCTCAGTTTTATACGATCATTTCAGAGTATATCACAAATGACTGTTTCTACCATGCTAATCTATCTCTAGTTTAGTAAGATACACCAAAACTCCAACATCAAAAATCCTTGAGACTGAAATCCAAATACAGGACATCCACAAGACTGAAATTTAAATGAAGAATACCCTCAAGATCAAATTTCCAACACTGAATGTTTCCAATGTTTCCAAGACTAAAACTGAAACACCAAACATCCTTCAGAAGGAAACTCCATCATCAAAAGCTTTCAGGACTGAAACTCACTGCATGTATTGGCAATAAAATTGAGTAGACTTCAGTCCATTACATTATCCACTTTCTATCTACTGATTGTACTGATAATGTCTGTGCAGACACTCAATTGAATGTAAATTAAAGACTGCTGATCACAGTTCATGTCCTGAGGAAGTGGTCGGTGAAAGACGACAATGTTAGACTGTCCATTTGTTGTAAGTGTAGGACAATCTGTTTGTGACATATAGTGCCTGTACATATCAGTATCAGCTACAATGAGAAATCCAGGTTTATCATGTTGGTTGCAGAGCATTAACTGTCAATAATATGTATTGTAACATGTTGAGGAATCATGACTCACTACAAACCACCTGTTCGGTAGCCATGTGATACTTTCACTTATTACAGGAATGTCATGGTACTACACATTGATTTATCTAACAAAGTTTCAACATACGGGCTGCTTTTATGTTATAAATCACTTTCACTTCAATCCAATAGATTTGAATAATGACCAATCAAATATTCATAGTTATTAACTTTTTTTCAAATTTCACGTTCAAAACTTCAGCATTCAGATAAAGTACTTTTGCTAACAACCTTAAAGCAAGGTAATTTAAGTTTCTGGACAAACTGAATTTTTTTTTAAACTATGAACAATCTAGATGATAACTGATATTTAAAATTGGGCCAGTCATCATGAATACCTCTCATACAAAGGGACAATTATTCAGTTCAGTCATCGTTCCCATAGTTGAACCAGGTAACCAGGGGTTCAGTCACAGTGATCTCCACTGATACACCAGGTAACCAGGAGTTCAGTCACGGTGATCTCCACTAACAGACCAGGTAACCTGGAGTACAGTTATAGTGATGTCCACTAATAGACTAGGTAACCAGGGGTTCAGTCACAGTGATCTCCACTAACAGACCAGATAACCAGGGGTTCAGTCACAGTGATCTCCACTAACAGACCAGTTAACCAGGAGTTCAGTTATAATGATCTCCACTACTAGACCAGGTAACCAGGATTTCAGTCACAGTGATCTCCACTAATAGACAAGGTAACCAGGAGTTCAGTCACAGTGATCTTCACTAACAGACCAGGTAACCAGGGGTTCAGTCACAGTGATCTCCACTGATAGACCAGGTAACCAGGAGTTCAGTCACGGTGATCTCCACTAACAGACCAGGTAACCAGGAGTTCAGTCAGAATGATCTCAACTAATAGACTAGGTAATCAGGGGTTCAGTCACAGTGATCTCCACTAACAGACCAGGTAACCAGGATTTCAGTCACATTGATCTCCACTAATAGACAGGGTAACCAGGAGTTCAGTCTCAGTGATCTCCACTAACAGACCAGGTAACCAGGGGTTCAGTCACAGTGATCTCCACTAACAGACTAGTTAACCAGGAATTCATCACCGTGATCTCCACTAACAGACCAGGTAACCAGGGGTTCGGTCACAGTGATCTCCACTAATAGACAGGGTAACCAGGAGTTCAGTCACGGTGATCTCAACTAACAGACCAGATAACCAGGGGTTCAGTCACAGTGATCTCCACTAACAGACCAGTTAACCAGGAGTTCATCACAGTGATCTCCACTAACAGACCAGGTAACCAGGGGTTCGGTCACAGTGATCTCCACTAACAGACCAGGTAACCAGGAGTTCAGTCACAGTGATCTCCACAAACAAACCAGGTAACCTGGAGTTCAGTCACAGTGATCTCAACTAATAGACCATGTAACCAGGTGTTCAGTCACTGATTTCTACCAACAACATAAAATGGAATTCTGAACCCATCTTACAGCTTATCTGTTTGACATCTGTTAAAACAATTATTCTGACATGGCCACAGTGTCTGTCTTATAGCTAATTATCTAAGTAAAAACTAAGGTACAACAATGACAAGTGATGACAAAAAATGTAACATAATCACAGACAATCACTGAAAGTTGCTTAACTCACACTAAATCAAGAGGACAATCCTTTCAGGATCTGCACTTGATTCAATGTAGGATGAGTGTGTACGTTGTTTCCTGTGAATATCCTGTTCTGTA